TGGTCACTTCTCTCCAGGATGAAGAGGAGCCATTGCTGAGCAACCTTTTACTAATCCACCTAACAGTACCATTATCTAACCCACATTTTACCAGCTTGTCTGCAAGAATATCATAGGGGACCTTGTCAAAGGCCTTACTGAAATCAAGATATGCTATATCTACAGCGTTCCCTTTGTCTACCAAGCTGGTAATTTTATCAAAAAAGGAGATCAGATTAGCCTGGTATGACTTGTTTTTGAGAAATCCATGTTGACTTTTTGTAATTATAGCATTGCCTTCTAGATGTTCACAGACTCTCTGTTTAATGAGCAGTTCGAACTGCTAGGTTGGCAGAAGCTGGGACTAGTGATGGAAGCTCACCCCATCACGCAGCATCTTGGCCTTGAACTGCCAACTTGCCGATCTTGCAGTCAACAAAGTCAGTATCTTAGTCTCTTGAGCCACCTTATACATATTACAATTTAATTTGCACAGCATATACATAGCTGATGAGCACCCACAACTGAGGTGTCATTTTTTTAAAGATCTATTTTATTTTAAGATCCACATAATTAGTGAAATTGCTGCTGCTGCTACCACTGCTGTCGTTGTGGTTGTTGTGTGCCTTCAAGTTATTTCCTACTTATGGCAACCCTAAGACAACCCTGTCATGGGGTTTTCTGGGGCTGAAAGTGTGCAACTTGCCCAAGGTCACCCAGTGGGTTTCCAGGGCTCAGCTGGGAGTCAAACCCTAGTTGGAGACCTGGTTGGAGTCGTAGTCCAACGCTCAAACTAGTACATGCTCTCAACAGCATGAAATCCTGACTGAAATTAGTGAAATACTGACCTTTAAATTGGCAACCATGAATAGGTCACCAGGATGAAACATTTGGGAGTAGCACTTCTGGTTTTACAAGACATCAGTTGCGATGTAGGTGATGGGCTATGTATTGTAACGTTATGACACTGCCCTGAAGCGCTTCTCACAAGTGTATATTTGTGTCCTGCTTAGAAAAATAAATGAGAAACACAGTATATGTTGCCTGCTGAACAATCTGAAATCTATAGTTTTTTGTGTGGGTTTTTCGGGCTGTGTGGCCATGTTCTAGAAGAGTTTCTTTCTGACGTTTCGCCAGCATCTGTGGCTGGCATCTTCTCTCAATCCTGTAGAGATACCAGACTGATCAACACCTGGATGGGAGACCAACGGAAACCCATGTAAGCTGCTCTGAGATTTCTAAAAGAACAGCTGGGTATAGATCTGATAGCTTACTGGTTTGATACCTGTGCCCTTTTCTGTATGCACAATACACAATACACTTGCATCATCATAGGTAAATCTGGAGCCAGTCATGCCAAAGAGCTTTCTCAGAACATGTTGTAAGGGAGAACCAGACATGAAGTTTAATGTCTCTGAAGAATTCTGTGCTAATTTCATCTCTTTTCTTTCCAGCTGGTACCTGAAGTGGAACGCTATGAATGGGTGATAATCAAGCATCCAGAGCTAGCTGTGACTAGATTAGAACAAGCAAACAGTTCTACTCAGATTTCTGACCCTCCATCTTTAACCAGCCTCCCTTCAAATCCTTCAGACCGTCTATCACCCTTCCTTTCTGCCCGGCATTTCAATTTACCTTCGAAAGCGGCATCCATGTTTATGGCTGGTAGTGTTGAATGCATCATCATAGGTAAATCTGTGCACGCCTATTGCTGCATGGCCCAGCATCTGTTTATAGTTCAAGAAAAAGAAATGACTGCTATTTTTGCAGGTGCAAATGCAGCATGCTTTTACAAGTTTATTTGTGAATAGACCTGTATCATCTTGAAATCAGGTGTAAAAATGAAATAAACATTTTACTACTTCATAATCTGGAATAGCTTATATAGTATGGGGTATTTGAAGTGAGACTCATGGCAGTTTGAATTAGTCAGTCGAGTAATAAGTCATTCTTTTTGCCTTTCAAAATATGGCTGCCCTACTGGAACAATGCTAACTTTTGCAAATGCCATAACCTTTTATGGGTAGTACTTCTGTACAGTTACGTAATGTGTCTCACATCACTGAGAACATCTAGCTGTTCAAACAACTTGCCTAAATATCTGGGACTCTATCAAATAGTGTTTTTTAGCCAGTAGGGGTATGCCTTGCTAATTTCTACAAGGACTTGCAGAGCCCCATTTTGCCACAGGGTCATGAGGCCTTGGATTTAATTTGCACAGATTACAGGGAAGATTAGAAGGGAAGATTGGGTAAGGAAAATCCCAGAAGGTGTATTGGTGTATGACATGATGGAATGAGGAGCTACATGTATGTTGAGGGTAAGGAAAATATTGCAAGATAAGCTGTAATGTTGTTGTGTGCCCCCAAGTCATTTTTGACGTACGGCAACCCTCAGGCAATGGGGTTTTCTTGCCAAATTTCTTCAGAGAGGGTTTGCCATTGCCATCCTCTGAGACTGACATTGTGACTAGCCCAAGGTCATCCAGTGGATTTTTATGCTTGAGCAAGGAATTGAACCCTGATCTCCAGAGTTGTATGTACGGTAGTCTAACACTCAAACCACTATATCACACTAGCTCTAGTGTTTTTTTAAAAAAAAAAATGGGTCTGTTCTATATGCAACTTTGTAGCAGTTGCTGTGTCACTTTATGTTTTGTCCATTCTGAATGATACCCCAATCAGTTGGTATAAACTGGTATATTCATCACCCCAGCTTTTTCTCTGGTCTTGCTACTTTGACAGAATAATTAACTCATCACTATAGAGCATCTTAGTAGGTCAGCTAGAAACTATAGCATAAATGGTTCCTTATGATACATTTTTACATTTAAGCTAACACAAGTAGCTACCCTATATCTACAAAAGTAATACAAACAAAACATGAAGCTGGAATTTCTATCTCTTCTTTGTATCTTGACCCAGATTGTCAGTATAATTTGGTCTCTTCTGTGCAGGAGGAGGTGATGGACAAGCTCTCTACATTGATGCAGACCTGAACCATGGAAGAACGGGCCACTGCAACACTTTTAACAACCAACCGTTGTGCTCTGAAAGTTTCCAGATAGCTGTCATGGAAGTATGGGGTTTCAAGGACACTATGAGCGGCTGAAGAGGCTGCCTTCTTCAAAGCATCTAGTCCATGGATTATGGTGTGATTCTGAGCCCCAGTCAACTGCAGGAGCCAACTGGACTTTTGGACCACAATTATGGGCTCCTTTTGCAATTTAGAAAGCTAAGTTTCAGGGCCTAGTAGTTTTGCCATGGTATTCTTCATATGCAACTATAGTTGGGCTAAGTGATTGAATCATACCTCTGTAGTCCTTAATGCATATCCTGATATTTTTGATAGCAAGGAGTGGTCTCACTTCTGCAGTCATATTAATACATAGCTATCAGAAGTAGCCCAGCCATTGGGAGGCCAGATGCATTTCTGATCTTGACAAAAAATGTGTTTTGGCAACTGGCTTTAGATATTCAGCAGTATCAGTTTTCCGAATGAAGCGCAAGGTTCAGACTCCTGCAGACATGAACATGGATCCAAAATGACTTGTGTACAATGAGAACAGATTATATTGCTGATTTCTCTCCCACTGTTTATATACCACACCATTCTAGAGGCTATCCAGAATCCTGAAAGGCTGCAGTAAGAAATGGAGAGTGGGAAAGTCTCATTGCACATGTGCAGAATGCTGTGCATGGATCTCCAGGTCATTTCTAGGATCTGTTCCCTTACAGAATTTTTAAAACACTGTGTGTTTGTGTGTGTGTGTGTTTGTATATGTAATGCAGCTGGCTGTTACCCTAATGACCAGTCTTCATTTGACATTCTAATGTGTGTGTGAAGGTAAAGTTACTGGTTTGGGAGTGCTTACTTGTTGATCTGTAGTGCCACTACTCTGTTGAAGGCATTCAGTGCAACACACTGCCATTGTTTTTTGTGTTTACATTCCTAATAGTGCATATCAGTAATACCATGTTAGAGTTGTGGAGTAGATTCAGGCAGCTAAAGCACCATGCAGTATATGAAGCACACAGAACAATTTTCCCTTGGAACCTAAGTCAGTGGTATTCATTTGTGCTACAAGGAAATTGAGAGGAACTTGAGGAGCAGTATTACCCAGTTTTGATGGAACTTTGGTACAGTCTTCAAAGTAAAGCCCTTGTAATTGGTTAGGAAAAAAAAATGGTTCTCAATCTCTCAGTTGTTAATTAAAGTGGGTTATTTCTTCTAGTAGCTGCAGGGGGTGCTGTCTTCTCAGTAATCTGCTGGAGCACTGGAAACTTCTTGCAAACAGTCTTTGTCTGTTTCCTTATCAGTAATATTCCTTTGTTGCAGGTTGTTGATCAGGTAAGCAGTTGCCCTCTTGGCTAACATAAATACATAAGCCCACTATAGACACTTTTGGTTGGTTTTCCACCTTCCCTCTGCCTTGGATTGACTGTGAGAATTGCCAGTTCATGATTTAGAGAAGGGAGATTATTTTGCCATATCTTAATACATATCCACTATCTACATTTGTAATACTCAGATTTCTATTTCGTCTGTAGTAATTGGCTTAAATGTCTACCTTGACAGTGTCCTAAGGAAATAGTTGAGACAGCCAATTGAAATGAAAAGGCCAGCATCAACGGCTTCAGAAGCATTTAATAAACAGAAGATACTGCTTTGTGACCAAGAGAGGTGGTCTATAGCTATATCACAGCTGGCACAGAACTCAGCATGCCTCAGCGTTTGAGTAGTTTCACGTGCTCACAGATTATTATCTATCTTCAAGAGAAGTATGTATTTGTATATCATAAAATTGGCTTCAGCATAACCTTGTTTTGACCCCTTTATTTTGTAATTTCAAATTGTTGATATCACACTCTGTTTGCATATCTAGTATTGGTTGTTAGTGGGGTGCTATGGGCAAAGAGAAGATGGCATTGCATGATAGGTCATTGATTAAAGCAGTACTTTGTAATTCTTTCGGAATTCCATTGTCCATAGCATTCACTAAATCTGATTATATCTTCTGGCCATCTTTCCCCCCTGCTTATAAATCTATGGAGGAGTTGAATGCAACAGGCTTTACTGCACAGTGAATGATTCCAAAATGTCCTACTGAAACTGAATTGTAATTTTCACAATCAGAAGATGGTGTAGATTTGACTTCTATATTAAATTATGTAAACTAAATTATCATTCACATGGATAAGAAGTAGAAACCTAAAGGTTGGATTTAGATGGGACTTGCAGTCTGAGCAGCATGAATCCACTGTGGCAATTCCAGCAAAACCTCTTGATGCCCTTGTAATGTTTTCCCATGTGGCCTATAATTTTATTTTATTTTATTTTATTCCACTCTGGCATTCTACCTTAAAGTTCAGACTTCTGATAGTTTCATTATGGTTGTGATGGAAATGATGGTCTAATGACTAGGTAGGGGCCATTCTAAAAGATCACTAAAATGATTTCTTGAGAAATGGTCACCTCTTTGTAATACATGTTGGACAACCGTATTTCCAGGGTCCAGGAAGGCAAATGAATCCTGCTGATACCAAGAAATGATGTGAATGTAACTAGCTATAGCTTCCAGTCTGTTTCAGAGATGAAGACAAATTAAGTGCTAACTTTCTGAATGGCTTGAATTCTATAATTCTCTTGAACATTCATTAATTTGCTGTTAATAAGCATCAGTGATTTATCTCCCCATTAAGGAATGCTATTGAAGAATTTCAGCTTCTCAGGTATGTGACAAAAGGAGTGGGGAAAAGAGCCAATGTTACTGAAACATATCAGCAAAACCTTAATACACAAAGAGGGTTTTTTAATGAGTTAATCTCAGAGTTAGGGTGACAGAATAAAAGCGCAGCACTGACAGGTTCTTCATTTTGCTTTCCTGTTGAAACGGATCCCCACCCTTCCCCGTGTTGTGAAATAAGTGTCCTAGTTTTCTCCCGAGATGTCATAGATTCTTAAAAATCTATCAGTCACCATGGTAATGTTGTGTGCTATCACAACCAGGCAAGTTTTTTCCTCTCTCTTATAGCTGGGCCAGATGAGTTTGGGAATTTCAGGTCTCTATCTGGAGGCTGAAGAAGGCAAAATGAAAGCTCGCTCTTTCCTCTCTTTGTGTTGGTTGTTGTGTGCTGTTTTTTAGAGGAACGTTGTACCTGACTGTAGTACATGTGCTCATGTTTGATGGTGTGTTGTTTCTTCCAGGAGGCAATTGTGGTTTTTCCTGTACTTCGACTTTACCCTAATATCATCATATAAGTAATATTCCCCTTTCTTTCCCCAGTTGAACGTGATGGAAGCTGCCTTCTGTGTGTCTGTAAATCTGTGGCTGCACAGAAATAAAATTAATTTGCTTTAAAAAAATAAACTGGACATGACTTCACTCTTCAATCTAGCCACATAGTTTTTGGTGCTAGTCGTTTAATTCTTCTGTCAGTAGTTTTGTCCCTGATGCCAGGAGTCAGATGGATTGGTGAAGAGGAATGCAGAAATCTTAGATCTTGGGTAGATACAAGATTAAAGCAAATTAAACCTTTGTGTTAAGGCTTGCCTTGTTTTAACAATGCTTTCTTTATTTTCACAGTATCCATGTGCAATAAGTAGGTCAAGCTGAGAGCCAAAAGTCACCCAAACTGATACAGAAGTATAAATGTCTCCCAAAACAGAAATAATCCAGGTTGACACCACTTTAACTGCCATGGCTCAATGCTATGGGATTTTGGGAACTGTAGTTTGTTGTGGCACCAGAGCTCTCTGACACAGAAGGCTTAGTGTCTCACAAAACTGCAAGTCCCAGGATTCCATAGCACTGAGCCATGGCAATTAAAATGATGTCAACCTGGATTATTTCTGCGCTGTGGATGCAACCTATGGGTATTCCCAAGATATTCACCAGATCCTTGAGTCTGGGATGCAACCGAATCCTGGAGAGTCTTACCCAATTCCCGGACCAGAGGACTACCAATCCACAGAGCCTCTGTCTTATCAGGATTCAACTTCAGATTATAAAATGGAAGGTTGCTATTTATAGATGTAGTGTATTGAGACTCTGTTTTAAAAATGTAAAATACTTGCTACACTTCATTCTGACCTCTAGAGGTCCAAGTTTAGTTGAAGCAACCAATGGCCTTTGAAGTAAGCCACCCTAAAGGCACCAGATCCTGTCTGATCTTGGAAGTTAAGGAGGGTCAGCCCTGGTTAGTACTCGGATGAGAGACCGCCAAGGGATGCCAATTGCTGTAGACTATATTTCAGAGGAAGGAACTGGTAAAACCACATAGTATTCCTTGCCCAAGAAACCCTTACGAAAATCATGGGGTTTCTGTGAGTCAACAGGTGACTTGGAGGCATATACATGTACAAATAAGAAAGTAAATGGGGGTTATTGGATTAATGTGTGTTATTGGATTAAAAGTATGACAATAGGAAAAATACTTGATTAAAAGAACTTGTTCGTTGGAAGTTGCTACTTGCATTGGGAAGAAATCAAACAGGATTATTATTATTATTATTATTATTATTATTATTATTATAACACCTTTTCCTCCAAAGAACATATACAGTCAAAAATGAATGA